TCCCGTGGTGTCTGTCTGTCCCGTGGTGTCTGTCTGTCCCGTGGTGTCTGTCTGTCTCTTTCCGTCTCTCGGTCTCTGTCTGCCTGTTGATCGCCTGTGTTCTCTGTGTTGGCTCCTTTGTCTCTGTCTCCCAGCCTCATGTCTCTCTGTGTCTCCCTCAGTCTCAGGCTCTGGGTCCCTCTTAGTCCGCGGTCCCTCCCGGGGTCTCTGTCTGGGGGTGTCTGCCCCGCGTGCCCGGGTCCGGGCGGGTCTCCCTGACGCCCCCCCCCCGCCCCGCCCCGCAGCGCGCCCTGTACCAGTCCTCCCACGTGGACGAGAACGACGTGCAGACCGTGTCGCACAAGTGCCTGGTGGTGGGCCTGGAGCAGTACGAGCAGATGCTCAAGACCAAGAAGCACCAGGACAGCGAGGGCCTGTACTACCTGGCGGGCACCTACGAGCCCACCACCGGCATGATCTTCTCCACGGACGGCGTGCCCGTGCTCCACCAAGAGAAAACACAAGGACCAAAGCCACAACCGGACACCTATTCTGTCACAGTTCTGAGAGGTCACAACAGGGTTTCTTTCTCTATGAGAAAAGCGTTTTTAAAACATTGTCATTTGCTAATGTTAACACTTTTTATGGTCTAAGATTTTCAAGAGGAAAAGTGTGAGGAATACAGGTGTTACAGTTATAGCCCAGTCAAAAAAGCTAGCAACTGGCTTTCAGAAATGCATGACCTACATTCATCAAAACTTGCCCCTGGTATTAAGAAAACTAAAGGAAAGATAAGGAGGGGGCTGCGTGCCCTGAGACCCCGGCCAGGGCCCACCCACCTGGTGCAGACCCTCACACTACAGACAACCCCATGGTGCTGAAACCCTGGCGGCCAGCCCGAGGGAGGCGGCAGTTCTTACCTGTACAGTTTTATTGTACCGAGGCGTTCCCCTGTATCATACACCCTTAAATGGAGTCCACTTTTTAATTATATATGAAGATAAATATATATAAATATATATAAATATAAACTTTTTAAAACTGTGAAAAAATAGCTATGAAATTATAAAAAAACGAAAACACACACATACACACACAAAACTATTACAGATGTCCCCATTGACCCCTTCTAGCCCGCACTGCCCCCAGGCCCTAGGCCTTCACCACACTATATTGTTAGTTTCAAATGAATGAATATTTTACAATTTTCCAGGTGTACTGTACGCGCCCCCACAGGGAGGAGTTGGAGAGAGCAGAGGCTGAGGGGCCCAGAGCCCCAGGGCGGCCTGCAGAGCACTTAGCCCCGCTCCCTAGGGAGGCGGAGGCCTGTCCAGACAATCTTAAGGGAAAGAAAAGCCAGACTTCGGTTTTATCTTTTGGGGGAATTATTGTTTAATTTGTTTAGTTTCTTTTGGAATTTTGTTTGTTGGCGAATTCTGTGTGATCTTTTTCATAAAAAGCAAAAAAGAAAAGAAAAAGCTGTAATTGGAAAGCGCGTTGTCTGGCGTGGTTCCTTTCGGGGGCTGGCGGGCTCCGCAGGGGGTGGCGGAGGGGGTGGGGGCGCTGGCCTTTCAGGGCACAGGAGCTGGTGTCCGCTGGCCACTGTTCACATTGGCGTTAATTTAAATGAAAGGAAAGCAAAAGTTTGTCAGTTGCACCAGCCATGGTTCCCACAGGTAAAAAGCAGGGCGTTGCTAGCGGCTACCATACCATCCATCAGGCCAGGAAGCTCTCAGGGTCAGAGCGGGGCGGGGCCTGCATTTTCTTGTTCTTTCTTTTTTTAAAAAAATATTTTTAATGATTTCAGAGAAGATGAGGGAGAGAGAGAGACAAACATAAATGATGAGAGAGAGTGTGAGTCGGGTGGCATGCCCCCTACTGCAGATCCAGCCCTCAGTCCGAGCACGTGCCCTGACTGGAATGGAACCAGGACCCTGCAGTCCAAGGGCGATGCTCTATCCACTGAGCAACATTGGCCAGGGCTCATGGATCTTTACTTATATTTGAAACAGAGCTCCCAGCCAGGCTCACACCTGAAGACGATGCTCTGGTCTGAGTGGCCCTGACTCTGCGGGATGGAGGGGGGTTCCCTGCAGGGGTCAGCGCAGGCTTGGCCCTGGTCCTGGCGCTGCCCCCTCCTCTCCCTGAGGTCAACTCCCAGCCGGAGCCTAGAAGGACCTGCCTGACAACCAGGGCACAAACACCGGGGGCATTCTGAGCTTGGCTGTTCCACGGCAGCATGTAGCGGGAACAGGGAGGTTAGAGAGGTTAAATGATGGAAGACAGTGATTAGCCCTAACCATACCCTGAATAGTAAAAACCTAACCCTGACCCTATCCCTATCCCGATCCCTAACCCTAACCCTAATCCTAACCCTAACCCTAACCCTAACCCTAACCCTAACCCTAACCATACCCTGAATAGTAAAAACCTAACCCTGACCCTATCCCTATCCCGATCCCTAACCCTAACCCTAA